TCATTAAACATGAAATCAAATCTAATCACGCATGAACTCTGTATCTTTGTTATAAAATACAAAAAATCCCAAAAACAGATAAATAAAACTAAATTAAATGTGGAATACAAAAACTAAACATTAGATATGGGTAAACATAAGTAAAAAAAGAAAAAATCATTAATAAATAATACACAAGATATAATTAAACATAAAATTAAATGATAATAAGATGATTACGATTTTTTTGGAACATGAAAAAGGGATGTCTTTTAGGATTGAGAACAAAATGGCTAAAACAAGTGAAAAGTAATTAGATAAAGAAGTATGTGGAGAACCCTAAATCAATAAAAAGGAAGTTGGATGGTCATTGGCCTTGCAAGATTGCAGGGAGAACAGTTATGGAAACAATCTTAGAAATAACGTGCAACTTTAATAGGATGTAAAATTCTCTTATATACCCTTAATGAAAGATAACCGAAATATTTAAAAACATCAAGATCTAATGGCTATAATTGTTTCTCATTTCTCTCCTAAGATTATTTTCTCACTTGATCCTAAATCTATATATATATATATATATATATATATATATATATATATATATATATATATATATATATACTCTCTCCCTTTCTATTTCTTTGACACACTTTCCTTTTCCTTTTTTAGAAGTGTCAAAATGGATGTCACACTTCTCATTTGGTAAACAAAATAGTGTCAAACCGTGTCCAAACAGTAAAATTTATCCCTTACTAAATAAATCCTTAAATGTTGACTTGTCGAACTATATCAAAGAAATAGAAACGGATGGAGTATATATTACTTTTATTTAATATATTTCTTTTTTAAGTTTGACTAGTAAACACTGTTTAATGTTGTTTGATTACACTTCTTATGTATCCAATAATCCAAATGATCTTGAGGCACGTAACATCAATCACTAAGGATGTGTTCTTTTGGACTGTTTTCGGTCCCAGACCAGATCAGATCAAACCAGACCAGACCAGATCACACCAGACCAGACCAGACTTCCATAGTTATAAAATACACAGAGACCAGACGTTTTACCAGAGCAGACCAGATCATATCAGACCAGACCAGACCAGTAAATTTCAGTCCAAAAGAAAACATCCTAACATGCATTTATATATAATCATAACAAAAACTACTCTATCGGGGATACATTAATCATGAGTAAAACATAAACAATATATACGATAGTACAAGATTGCAATTGCTTTCTTTTTGAAACACACTCATTAGTACTTAATTGTAGAAGATTTAGGCTTTTCATAAAACAAAAAAATCATGTTTTGAGAACGAAACATACATAGTACGTACTATTTGTGTGTTTTTATGTGTTTTATACGGAGTACTACAAAAAACACGAGATTGACAGAAATTTTTTGGCAAGAATTTTCCAAAATTGGCAGAAATTTTGATAGGGATAAGTCAAATGTGTGTCAAAAACAGTTTTTCACGGGCTATTTTGCACGAAATTATCTATAAATTTATGCCAAATCCGTGGCAATCACGTATTTTTATGTAGTGTTAGTTATTCCTATTCAGAGAGATTTATTTCATTATACTTCATAGTATATACTCCCTGTTGGTCCAAAATAGGACGCTCGTAGGCTTTTAGGAAAGCTACGAAAGAACACTCAAGCAGGAAAGTAGAAAGCAATACGAATATGGAAAGTAGCTAGAGAGTTTGGTAGCCAGAAATAGCATGTCTGTATTCGAAATATAACTTGCCTTTTATAGGCGCTTACAAATGGTAACTGCCGAATAATAATGACTAAATTAATACAAAATTAACTACATGATTAATGGTGCATTGATTGCTGGCCGTTACGCTTCTTGGCTGGCTGGCTGGCGGGTCGGCCTGGCTGACGGTCCGGACGCTTGAGCTTCTCGGGCGGCAGGCTTCCGTCGGGCTGGAAGGCAGGCTCCTAGCTAGGCCGCAAGGCAGGCTTCCAGTTGGCCGGCAGGCAGGCCGTCTTGGGCTTCCACTCCGCTGGACCTCCACTCCCTAATGGGCCCGGTTGGTTGGGTCGACTTGATATCTGGACCGCTGGGTCCACTAGCTGGGCTTGCCTGGCGAGACGACAGTCCTGGGCTTGGGCCTGCAAGTTTGGGGCAAAGTCTGATTAGGCGTTGGGCCTAGTCCTATGATCCCATCACGAGTCCCCCACTCCCTTAGTCGAGTAGTAGACTCGGCTAAGAGGGAGTAGTCCAAGTCAGCTGCCAATTTAAAAATGTTCACACCCTGGGGAGTAATAATTGTGGATTCTGTAAATCCCACAATTTATGGAAATTTTCTAATTTTAAATAAAGCTCTCAGCTTTAATAGGCTTCAAATTAATTCATTCAACATCCTAGCACTCTAGCAGTCAGCTTTCTTCCAGACTCCAGAATCCAGGTCAGCTTCCGAATATTCCTCAAAATAATTATTTTCGGACCCCTAAATTTTTTTCCTTTTCCTTTTCCTCTCCTTTTCTTTTCTTTTATTTTCTTTTCTTTTCTTTTCTTTTCTTTTCTTTTCTTTCCTTTTCTTTTCTTTCCTTTTCTTTCTCTCTCCTGGTTCCCTGCGTGCGTCTTCCTCGCGTCGCCCGCATCGCCCAGCGCCGCAGTCAACTTGCCGGGCGGGTTGACCGCCGTTTTCCCTCCGGCGGTTCCACTGGGTCGTCTCCCCTGTGCAAGGCGGCCGTCCCGCGCCGCCCCCCCGGTGACCGACGTCGCCCTGGCAGTCCGGCAAATCTGGCCGGCTGGTCTGGTCAAGCGGGCTGACCGCCGCTTTCCCTCCGGCAGCTCTACTGGGTCGGCCCCGCCGTGCTAGGCGGCTATTCCGCGCCGCCCACATGTGACCGACGCCGCCCTGGCAGTCCGGCAAATCTGCATCGGTGAAGAAGATGGGATCCCTCTTCACCCTCTTATCGACAGGAACTCTGGTTACTTCCCCAACGTACAAGGCTCGGGCCCATTGTTTCCGCTCTCCTGAGGTATCCCCTCCTTGGGGTCCCCCGAAGATGTATGAACATCGATGGTGTTTACGGGAGCCATCCCCTAGGTCGGCCTCATCATCCTCGGAAAGGGCGCCAAGCTCCCGCTTCTTGGCGGGTTGCTTCTCCTTTGATGTGGTAGCTTGGTCAGACCGCTGCCACGTTAGGCTCCTCTTTTGTGGGATGTTTCCTTGCTTGCCAACAAACTGGCCCAGATACCCTCTCTGGATAAGCTCTTCAATTTGCCGTCGGAGAATGACACATTCATCTGTATCATGTCCTGCTCTCCGATGGAATCGACAATACTGGTCGTGGTTGCGTTTAGCGGTCACCACATCGCATTCCTCCGGGAAGTCGATTAAACCCTGCTCCTCCGCGTAGTCGAGGATGGCCCCGACTGGCTGGGCAAGTGGAGATAATTGTCTGACGGGCAGGAGCGGTCCGCTCGGGACGTCCGCCTTGCCCTTACCTTTGTTCTTGTTACCTTTGTACTTGTTTTTGGCGCCGGTCTTGCCGTCAGCTTTCTCGGCACCAGAACCAGCTTCCTTCTTCTTCTCTTCCTTCCCACCTTCTTCCTCATCTCTCTTCTTTTGCACGGCGTCCTCCGCCTCGGCTTGGCGATCGGCACGACCGAGCGCTTCTTCGTACGTGGTGGGGGGACTTCTGACAAAATCTTTGTAAAGCTCACCAGACCGAATGGAGTTTGTGAGCATGGCCACCCCGGTCTTGTCATCAAGGCCCTGGACCTTGATTGACTCAGCCCTCCACCTCGCTAAGAAGGCGGACAATGACTCCTTCTTCCCCTGTTTTAGGCCGAACAGGTGGCTGAAGTTCCTCTTGACGTCTCGGGAGCTCGCAAACCTTAAGAGAAAGCGCTGAGCCAACTCGCGAAAGTTCATGATACTCCCATCAGGCAGAGAGTCGTACCACTCACGAGCTGGGCCGTCCAAGGTGGCAGAGAAACCGCGACATCGGATGGCATCCTCATACCCCATCATCACCATGTAGGAGAGGTATCGAGATACATGATGTTGGGGGTCAGAGGCGCCCTTGTATGTTTCGATGGTGCAAGGCTTGTAGCCCCTTGGCAACGACGCATCCATGACCGCCCGGGTGAAAGGTTCGAGTATCCGGAGGTCGGCCGTGTAGGGCTCCCCCCCGACGACCCTTCTCCTCAACTCGTCAAGGCGTTGTCGTAGATCTTCCACCTCGGCCGGCGGTGGGTTCCCTCGGACAGCCCTAGCACGGGGCTGGGCATGTCCAGCAGCACCTCCAAGTCGCCTGTGTGCATGAGGTCGGGTCCCCACGTTTTGCCTTTCCATGGAGCCAGTCCGGCTGCTCGCTCGGTGAGAGTGGCGAGAGGACTCGCCTCCTTCCATCTGCATTGAGCGCCCCTGCTGGGCGCCCCTCCCCGCCTACTGATGGGGTCGGCTAAGCTGATGGGAGACTTCCTCCCTCCTGTTTTGGTCGGATCCAGAACGTCGCTCGTCACGCCGCCTGGAGGACACCTCCACATCTGCCGGCGTCTGTTGGCGGGCAGGCTCATCCACGTTTCCGCCATACACCATCTGTTGGAAACCTTGAGTCAAGGCCCCCAGAACCCGAGTCGCCTCCTGTAGGGCCTCCACCCCGGCATTGAGTCGAACCGGGTCCATGCGCGGAGCATGACGTCGGCCTCCCCCCCGCCGGCTGCGGGCCGAGCGCTCACCTTGGGTGTGGTTGAGCGTCGCCCTCAGGTCGCCGTGGCCTGACAATCGGTTCCGAAGGTCGCCTTGGGGCGCCGCCCCCCTGCCCTGTCCATGGTTGTCGTGGGCACGCTGGCGGCCTGACCCGGTGGATTCCTCGGTGTGGACTGAGACATGGTCACGTCGGGACGAGATTCCGGCCATCTTTCTGTGTGATTCCTGCTCAAGTGATTGTGAGAGACAATAGAGGCCTCTCAATGAGAGCACCAATGTTGGTCCAAAATAGGACGCTCGTAGGCTTTTAGGAAAGCTACGAAAGAACACTCAAGCAGGAAAGTAGAAAGCAATACGAATATGGAAAGTAGCTAGAGAGTTTGGTAGCCAGAAATAGCATGTTTGTATTCGAAATATAACTTGCCTTTTATAGGCGCTTACAAATGGTAACTGCCGAATAATAATGACTAAATTAATACAAAATTAAATACATGATTAATGGTGCATTGATTGCTGGCCGTTACGCTTCTTGGCTGGCTGGCTGGCGGGTCGGCCTGGCTGACGGTCCGGACGCTTGAGCTTCTCGGGCGGCAGGCTTCCGTCGGGCTGGAAGGCAGGCTCCTAGCTAGGCCGCAAGGCAGGCTTCCAGTTGGCCGGCAGGCAGGCCGTCTTGGGCTTCCACTCCGCTGGACCTCCACTCCCTAATGGGCCCGGTTGGTTGGGTCGACTTGATATCTGGACCGCTGGGTCCACTAGCTGGGCTTGCCTGGCGAGACGACAGTCCTGGGCTTGGGCCTGCAAGTTTGGGGCAAAGTCTGATTAGGCGTTGGGCCTAGTCCTATGATCCCATCACTCCCCAGTTGCAACATAATTTAGAAAGTCCATTTTTCTTGATCAACAACCTTGCTCCATCTTATTTACTCATTTAGCATGCATGTCAATATTGTTATACATTCTAATTTGAATTTTGTGAATTTATAGAGCTTTCAATATGACTTCCGAATATGTAAATTTCAATTAGTAAAATCGATTTAATTATAGGCATGTAGTAATTTATTATCTTCAGTTATTAATTCGCCGAATTAGTATATAACAACCTGTCTAATATTTCGATAGTAGCGATTTAAACAAACACAGATTATTTTGAACTAGAAACGTCAGCAAAAATGCGACGCGTAGGCAGCACTGAAAAAACAAAGTCCAATAGTCCATAGTAGGGGTGGGCATAACGGTTTGGTTTAATCGAACTGAACCGTACCAAACCGAACCGAAACCGAACCGTATGCAATTTGGTTTTAGTTTGGTACTATTTCTTTCAAACTGTATTAAACCGAACCGAACCGAACCGAAACCGATAAAAACCGAACAAAACCGAACAAAACCGAACCGAACCGAACAACACACACACACACACACACACTTTGTATTTATCTTCACTCTTCATTTTAAGATATAAATAAAAAATTTAGACATGAAAATGCATATTTAAGCATATACTCGTGTTATTTTAACTTTTACACATTTCAAACATTCATTATGACAAAGTTAGCTAATACGACATATTTGTATTTATTATGGTTGGCGATATCAATAGCAAATTGTATTTATATTTCTATTTCTATTTCTATTTCTGTGTGAGTCTTTGGTTTAGTTTGTTTCAATTGGTTTAGTTTGTTTCAATTGGTTTAGTAGGTGAAGGCAGGTTGTTTAAGCTAGGTTCTAGTATTTCATTTAGTTGGAATTTCAATTGGCAGGTTGTTTAAGCAGGTGAAGGCAGGTTGTTCAATTGGTTTGGTGAAAGCTGGTTCTAGTATTTCATTTAGTTGGAATTTCAATGAAAACAAAACATTCAAAATTACTCATTTACTCAAAGTGGATTGTAACATATGAAACAAGACATAATCATTTTCAAGTTTATAAACCGAACATCAAACTGAACACCAAACCGAACCGAACCGAATTTTTCCCAAACCGAACCGAAACCAAACCGAAATTCTTTTGGTTTGAGTTTGGTACTATTTTCCTAGCTCAAACCGAATAAACCGAAACCGAACCGAAACCGATAAAAACTGAACCGTAAACCGATTCGCCCACCCCTAGTCCATAGTGCAAGGAACACCATACGTGGAGTCTGGAACACCAGCTCCGATCACAACTCCGATACCCTTTTAAAAATTGGGGTATCGTACCTACCATCATTTGATTGGTGTAAATCATTCTATTCCTTTTAATTTAGATTTAATTAATTCAACTTCATCATTCCTATTGGACAAAGGTACCATAGAATCTACCTTAATTAATATAAGAGTATAAATAAATTAGGAAAAATTGAAAATAATAATCCCAACTATTGCCGGTCCGCTAACAATAATCCCAACTATTAATTATTTTTGTATATATAATCCCAACTATATGGACCATCCGCCAATAATAGTCCATGACCAAATATTACCTTCTATAAAAGTGAATTTTAAATAGAAATTAAGCGTAAAAATTAAAAGTTAAGATTATTTATAGAGATTACTTGCTATATCTCTTCTCATCCACTTCAGAAAGTACATGAATTTATTTACATGGACTGTTATTGGCAGAAGGACCCTAAAGTTGGGATTATTCTAAAATAATCGATAGTTGAGATTATTATAAGCGGACCACTAATAGTTGGGATTATTACAATCAATTTTTCCTAAATTATTAAAAGGCCAATTAAATTCTACCGCCTATAAATATGATCCGGGCCACTAAGTTTAACATATCTCATTCAATTCGTACTTGTGTTCTTCTTCATACCTCTTTCTCATCTATCTTCATCTGAGTTCTAGTGATCGATCACCATTCCATTCCTCACTCATATCAAAACAGTATTGTATCTTTACTGTTCTTCTTTTGGCTCTAATACAATTAGTATAAGTGCGCTTCGATTCTTCTTCTCGGCCGGTCCGGCATCATTACCTAGCTACAGTACCATATTATCACCGCCGGTCTGATGAGGTCACCGGGGAGTTAGGCGGCAAAGAGTTGCCAAAAGAAGGCACGGTGGAGTACTACACCGCCTGGACAGCTCATGACCAATACCGCCGCCCGCTGCCGCCACCCCTCTACAGCAAACATTTGCCCGCACTCACATTTGTTGTGGGCGCGTCAGTACGTCACAATTCAGATGCAAAATTGCGTCTGAGTGGCGACATTATTGCCCGCAACAAATGTGAATTCTGGAAAATAATGTGCGGTAGGGAGGCGGCGGCGGTCAGGGGCAGATCTAAGAATCTGAGCTGCTCTGGGCTGAATAGGAATTATACCAGGCTTGAATATTAGCGGGGTGGACTTAATATGAAAAATGAAAAATTTACACTAAAGAAATTGAAAATTTTCTAGGTTGCACTGTGTTTCAGCCTACTATAGCTAATACATAGATCCTCCCCTGACGGCAGTATTGGTCATGAGCTGTCCAGGCGGTGTATTACTCCACCGTGCCTTTTTTTGGTAACCCTTTGCCGCCTAACTCACCGACGAGTTCATCAGCATGGCGGTCCGTGATAATTATTATTGTACTATATATAGATAGTCAATGATGTCTGGCGGGCAGAAGAAGAATTTAATTGCACTTGTGCTAATTTTATTAGAGCCGCTGAAAGAAGGATCATAAAGATACTAATCCTACAATACTGTTTTGACGTGGCTGATGAATGATGATTACTAAACTAGAACTCAGATAAAGATAGATCGAAAAGTTGGTAAATAGAAGAAGGTACGATTGATAGATGTTAATCAAGTTATACTCGACCATATTTATTACACTACCAAAAAATACGAGATTGACAGGGATTTTGGCAGGGATTTCGACAGGGATTATGCCAAATCCTTGCCAAAAACACTTGGCACGAGCTATTTGGCACGAAAAATCGATAATCTGTGTTAATCCCGTGTATTTTTGTAGTGTTATATACATCTATCTCTTATATATATCGGAGGAGCCAGGGAGTCAAGTTGGCAGGCCGACTCTCTGAAAGTTTCTGAATGCAGATTTATGAAATATCTTCGATTTGATATATTATGAGCCTGTAACTCGTTATAAGTAAGGAGTTATGATATTTGAAAAAAAATTAACATCATCTTAACTTGAAATGAGCAAAATTTGATGTTTGGTATTAATTACTTCATATTCTTAAATTTAAAAATAAAGCACTTTATTCACTCATTAGTTGTGTTAACTTTATAATACAATGCATATATATATACCAAAACAGTAATTGTCTATGTATGTCTCGTTAAACTATCATTTATCTAAATTACATATCAAACATTCGACTTAAATGTTGTTTAATAACGATTCACCGTTTTAATAATATACAGTAATTAAGTTTTGACCCCCCATGGTCCCATGCATACACATTTTTCTGGCTACGTCAGTAATTATATATATTGAATTAGCTTAACTCAAATGCTCTACATGAGCCGTGTACTATATGTATGGAAGAGAAATATATTACACTTTTTTTAATAAAAGGGGAAATTTTATTAGAAAAGGAAATAGGAATTACAATATAATGGGAAAATAGGAAAGAAAGCAGAAAGAAAGTACAAAAGGGAAAAGGAAAAGAAGGAAGGAAAGAAAACAAATAAAAATAATTAGGCCCAAAGAAATTGGAAATTGGAAAGTTTTGGCTCTAGTTAAATCAATCACGGGAACAACACTAAAAGAGTCCGCCCCAGCGAGAAATGCAATTCCCACCACGGGCGCCCTTCTGCTTTTGACAATTTATCTTCTTTGGATTTGAATTGTTGGTGATTTCGGATACTAATATTTGTGTTATTATTTGCGGTTTGTTTTTTGATTAATTTTATTTAAAAATAGGTTTTAAAATATAAAAAAACAATGATATGATTTTACATTTGGGCTTTAACAGGGCCAACCCGGACTCGGACCGAGCCCGGTCTATCAAAAACCCGACTCGAACCGAATATAATGGGCTTTTTCCGGTCCTTAATTTTCATAACCCGAGACCTTACGGGTTATTTCCGGGTTTAGCAAAAACCCGACCCAAACCAGATCGATCCCACCCCTAAAAACAGTTTGAAAATTCCAAAATATGGCTGCCATGTTTTTATTCTCAAAATATGAGTAATTACTAACAAGTTTGGAAAATACTGGTCTGGTATTGCCAAAACATGACATTAATTAGTCAAATTTTGGGAATAAAAACATGACAATCCTATTTTGGAATTTTCAAACCTTTTTAGTCCTATTTCGAATAATATTCTCTTTATTCATTTAATTAAGATGTCAATTTCTAATTATATTCTAATTTGAGGTTTGCAACTACGATCAAAAGAAATTGAGGTTTGCAACTTTGAAGATGTTTTTATGTATTAAATTATCAATACGAACGATTTATATGATACGGAGTAGAAAAGTTTGAAAGTTGATGGGGACGGCGGCCATTAAAACCGTCCGTGAAGGTTATGATGATTATGATGATTATGAAAGTTTGGGTAGAATCTAATTGTTACACTTTTTAATTTGAAGGTTGGCTTTGATCTATTTACAGTGACCATTTTATGGCCAAGCGTTTCTGAATGTGCGTGCCCATGCGCTCGATTCAAAATTTCAAATAAAGCTGTATACATTCCAATTTAGGATTTAGCTAGTTTTTACTTTTAAACTCTCTTGGGCCCTTGGGGCTTGGGGTGAACCGGAAATAGTTAGGGCCTGTTTACTAACAGAAATATTTTCCAATTTTCCAGAAAACTGGAAAACTGGAAAACAGAAAACAGGAAACGTGTTTACCAAAGAAATTCCTGGAAAACTGGAGAAAGGAAAAAAGAAAAACGTGTTTACCAAATCGTTTTCCAAAACGGAAAAAATGAAACATGTCTTTCTTTTTCTTAATGATTTGGAGAAGTGACTTTTACTAGTTTTCCAAATTTGGAAAACGCAGATGCTACAGTGCCTTTGCAATGAATTTGCATACTTACACCTAGTGGTGGGTCCGGTCCCGCTCCGATGTCGATTTCATTCCGGTACCTCCATCCCCGTACCTTACCCCTTACCCCTACCCTACCCTACCCACCCAACCCCCACCCCGCGTACCCATTTTTCCCTATAATGACCCTACCCCACCCCCCACCACATGCCCCGACCTCAGCCCCACCCCGATCCACCGTACCCTACCGCCACCCCCCTACCACCTCGACCCCACCTCGATCCACCCTACCCTACCGCCACCCCCCTACCACCTCGACCCCACCTCGATCCACCCTACCCTACCGCCACCCCTACCACCTCGACCCCACCCCGACCCACCCTACCCTACCCACACCCCTCGTATATTACCACTTACCCCTACCTTACCCCTTACCACATGTCTCCTACCTCGGCCCCACCCCACCGCCATCCTACCCCCACCCCACCCTACCCTACCTCGGCCCCACCCCGGATCCCGGGCCCACCCTACCGCCATCCTATCCCAACTCCCTACCCTACCCCTACCTTACCCCAACCCCAAACCCTACCCACTACCCCCCACCCTTACCGCCATCCTACCCCTTCCCTACCCCAACCCCACCCTGGTCCCGACCCCACCCTACCACCATCCTATCCCAACTCCCTACCCTTACCCCAACCCCACCCTGGTCCCGACCCCACCCTACCACCATCCTATCCCAACTCCCTACCCTTACCCCAACCCCAAACCCCACCCACTACCCCCACCCTTACCGCCATCCTACCCCCCCACCCTACCCCTTCCCTACCCCGGCCCCACCCCTGGTCCCGACCCCACCCTGCCGCCATCCTATCCCAACTCCCTACTCTACCCCTACCTTACCCCAACCCTACCCACTACCCCACCCACGACCCTAACCTACCCACTACCCCCACCCAACCCCCTACCCCTAAACCTTACCACCCCACCCCGACCATACCCCTTACCCCACCCCCACCCATAACTTCCCTACCCGACCCCTACGAGTAGGTATGGGTGGGTATGAAGGGTTGTGGTGGAGTATGGGTAGAGTGTAAGATCGTTGTAAGGGTAAAGGTAGGGGTCAAGGGTGTGGAATTGGAAAACTATGTGAAAAAATTGATGAACATGTTTTCAAATTTGAAAATGGAAAACTAAAAAATAGAAACAGAAAATTGGAGATAGAAAAACAGAAAATTGGAGAACGAAAAACAGAAGTAGAAAACAGGAAAATATCTCTGTTAGTAAACAGGCCCTAAGGGCAATATCTCTGTTAGTAAACAGGAAAATATCTCTGTTCCTAGAAAATGCATGCTCAAATTTTGATGTGTGCAGAAAAAATCAAATTGAACTATACTACCTTTATAACCCAGTCCGTACTTACTGACCAATTCGTTCGTGCTTGATGTTAATTTAGCCTCATAAATGAAATTTTCTCTATTTGTGTGGTCTTGTCATTTTCATCTTCTAAAATTTTGTGCGGAAGGAACAAATTAATTCTAACAGTCACAGGCTTTTATGCTACTTCCTATAACATCTCAAAAAAAATTATAATTTTTGAAAAGCTCTTAAACATTATCATGTCAAACATACAATTAGAATCTTCTAGACACTTCTAAACTGTACAAAAGCTAGAAAACGGAGACTTCTGACCGCCAAACATGCACATAAGTTGATTGAACTTTTTGAATAGTTATGGACTGTTGGAAGTGTATGAGATATGATCAATGTCAACGAAAATTATTATGTACTATACATACATACGGATAATAAAATTTATGTGCTAAAATTTTCTTTTTCTATCTAATTGATTACTCCGTATTATTTTCTATTTGAAGTTTTACTTGCGAAATAGGTTATAAAATACCTGTAAATAGAAAATATTTGTAAATATTCGTGTCAGCTGTTTTTAGCACGAATTTGACATATCCCTTCCAAAATCTCTGCTAATTTTAAGAAATTCATGTCAAAAATCTTTGACAATCCCGTGATTTTTGAGAAAAAGAAAATTTTAGATATTCACGGACAAAATAACTATATACAAATGCCAGATGCCAAAATCATTATCGCAACCAAGCATAGAGTAACCACACAAGCAAATACTTTAGAACCCAAACTTCGATTAAATTTCGATTAATGTGCTTCTTATTCTATTGAATTTAAAGTTCAATTACATATAATACTACCACACATATATACCTATACACACACAATCCATATATGCAGGGGCGGACCCAGGAAATTGGTATCGGGGGGGCGGTAATTTAAACAAAAAAAATCTAGGCGCTAATAATAATAAGTTATAACCTTAATATGATAGTAATTAAATGAAGTATTACACAGTAAGCAAAAATTAGAAGAAGAGACAAATATATTATTACACAATAAAAAAGTTAGTACCTTAGAATTGTGCCCGACGCTCCTTCAACGAGATAAATTCCTCAATGATGGCTTTTGAGTCAAAAGTTTTAGCAATTTCTCTTTCAATATAAACAACAAGGTTGTCTGCTAGATACTCGTCCTCCATTTTATTGCGAAGCCTTGTTTTTATAATTTTCATTGCTGAAAAAGCCCTTTCTGTTGTTGCTGTCGAAACCGGTAGAGTCAACAAAAGTCGGATCAATCTATCAATAAGAAAGTACACTTTTGACATCTCCGTCTCTGCTAATCCTTGACAAAGTTCACCCATTGTAGACAAATTAGCCAACTTTGGATGGTTTAGAACATTGAGCTTATAATGTTGCAATTGAAACCTCAAGCCCACCTTCTCCTGCTCAATAAAATCAAAGGGGTAATATTTATCCACTAAAGAACATATATCATCAATGTTAAAGGACTTATATGAGTCCTTAGGATCCAAAGCACCACTAAGAGTAAGAAGATCCATTATTTGTTCACTGAATCTGCTATTCAGCTCCAACAATTGTGAATCTATGGTTGCATAAAACATATCAACCCGATAGTGACGTTCAATATCAAACCCTTCTTGATCGTTGCGTTTGCGTTTTGCCACATAAGGAGACTTCATATTTGGAACTTCAATCTCATGCTTTTTGCAAAACTCTTTAACAATTTCTAAGAAGTTATCCCATCCATCCTCCCTTAACTTTTGGATCAACATTTTGGTGCTTGACACCAAATGCATAGCATTTACTATGTCTTGGGACTTCTTTTGTAGATGCTGACATAGAAGATCTGTAATGCCCATAATTTCTTTAGTAAGATGCAACAAGAAAACAAAATCAAAAGATTTAATCTTCTTAAGTGCTCCAGCTGCATCTCCACGAGTAGAATAGTTATTGCCATTCTCTTCAACATCTTCTAAAACGGAACAAGTTGCGGCAAACATCCTAATCAAACTGCAAACAGAACTGAAATGTGAGCTCCAACGAGTTTCTCCAGCTCGTTGTAATGTACCAACCTGATTAAGTCCCCTGCCTGTTTCAAGCTCACCAATTTCCAACAATCTTGCAATTTCAAGTGCTTGAGCTTCCTTTAATTCATCATTTCGTTTGCAAGAAGAACTAGTCACATTAATAATAAAGACTAAATCGGTGAAAAAATTATGCACATATTTCACCTCTCTAGAAGCAGCAACCAATGTCAATTGCAACCGATGTGCTAAGCAATGAACATAGTAGGCATAAGGGCAATCATTTAAAAATAATGCTTTCAACCCATTCTATTCTCCCCGCATATTGCTAGCACCATCGTACCCCTGACCACGAATGTTCTGAACATCAAGACAAAATCTTGAAAGAACGGCACAAATTTCTTTTTTCAAAGTTAATGCTGCGGTATCTCTAACATGCACAACATCAAAGAAATGCTCTCTAATGAACCCCTTTTCATCAACAAATCTCAAAATAATAGCCATTTGCTCTCTCTTAGATTCATCACGTGCCTCATCAACAAGAATGCAAAACTTAGAATCACCAATATCATGTCGAATCTTATGGCGCACTTTATTAGCATGCATGTGTAAGATCTCTTTTTGAATTTTGGGAGAAGTATACATAGAATTTTTTGGAGCATTATCCAAGACAACACTAGCAACTTGTTCATTATATGATGCTAAAAGTGAAACCATTTCAAGAAAATTACCTCGGTTTCTAGAAGTAGAGGATTCATCATGACCTCGTAGAGCACATCCTTGCGAAGCCAACCACCGAACAGCATCAATAGAGGTCATAAACTCATAACCCGTAAGCGGTTACCTTCCTTCACCTCTAGAGTTTGTGCTTCGATGACTTTGTCAATATGGCACGATTGATTCAATAATTCTTGACAACTTTTCCAAGAATTATTGTGTGGAGAACATGGATCTTGACCCACATGATTCAGCAAAGCACAATTAGCCCCGTCATTAACTTTTTTCCAACTATTAAAACCTTTAAGAGTGAAAGCATCAGTTCCATGACGAGTTATAGGCTTTGCAAAAAGGTAGCACGGAAAGCAATATGCTGCATCTTGTGTGGGGGAATACTCCAACCAATGAAACTTTTGAAACCAAGAAAACTGAAATCTTCGAGGGCGCTTATCATCGGACAGGGGATACTTTGCAAGATGTATTTGATATGGCCCCATCTCCAAATATGCTCGAATAACTTCATCTCTTTGATTAACAGGATATTCCCATATCTGAGGGCGTTTTCCGGGATCACGTTCTAGATTCTTGATATCAAATGAAAGACTAGAACAACCCAAATATTTGGAAGTATTAGTAACTTCTACATTTACAGTTTCTGCATTGACCGGATTACTCGGACTACAACTTGAATCAACAGTTTTTCTCTTAAAATGAGAGTCAATGCTTGTCTGCTTCTTCATCTTTCAGTCATTCACTATATCTTTCACAAAAAATTAGAGAAATTACTTTAAAATACAAAAAGGTAAACGAAATGCACAAAGACATATATGTTTATAATACACTGCATAAAACCCCAAAATTTATCTTTAGCAATTCATAAAATTGATTAACTAATGACTAACCCTAACACTCTAAAAGGCTAAAAATTATAATACAAGTTAACACAAATACACAATCATCACAAAATAAGAGAGAAAAAGTCTAAAATAGTAAAATATTGACCTGTGCGGCTTGAGGCAAACCCAGAGACGGGCATGACGGCTGAAGCACGGCGTGACGGCGGTCAGCGGAACAAGGCGTGACAGTCTTCCTCGCAGAGTCGCAGACTCGCAACCTCGGTTCTCGCCTTCTTGCTCGCACAGTCGCACGGCCTGACAGTCTTCTTCAATCGTTCATTGACTTCATTCGTTCTTCTAATTTCTTTATTCTCTGACCTTTGTGGCTTTGTGCGTAGGTTCATTAAAGTGGCCAGTGGGGTGGGCTGGGATTCTTTTTCTTTTTTGAAAGGGGTGGGCTGGGATTCTTCAAAGAAACTTTGAGTGGGCTGGATAAAAAAGAGTATTTAAAGAAAAATATTATTTTAGAGTAGACTGGGCTGATATAAATTTTTGACTGGCCTGATCCGCTGATATAATATTACTTCTAGAATTCTATTTTTTCAGGCTCTTAAACAATTGAACCTCTGCGAGTAGGCTATGATTTGGGAGCGAAAATATTTATTGGGGGGTTCAATTTTTCTTGGAGGGGCGAGAATTATTTGTTGGGGGGGTAAATTTATTTTTTATATATACATATATACTAAAAAAAAAATTGTTGGGGGGGCGACTGCCCCCCTGGGTCTGTACTACGGTCCGCCCCTGCATATATGAAACATGTGTACGTTAATTTGTATTGTTTGTATCATATACTGATTACACTCCGTATCATGTAATCATGTACTACGTATCATATACTACGTATTTGAGTATGATATATACTCATATATACATGCATGCATCACATTCACATTCTATATTTGGAAAATTTGAGAACAATAATCATACTTTTTACCGATCATATGAGAATAATCTCACATGCATTCACATGATCTCAGAATAATCACTTTTACTGGATTGAAAAATACTGTCATTAATTATAATAAATACTGCCATATAAAATGCACGGTACTGCAATTATTTCGCAGTCACACCTACAAGATGACGTTAAATAATGTCATGTTAGTCCTATTTCGTGAATAAAAACATAGTAGTCCTATTTCGTGAATAAAAACATAGTAGTCCTATTTCAGAATTCTAAACTTCATTTACTCCTATTTTGGGAAATCTCCCTATTTTTTATTTACCCCTAACTCCTAAAAAACTTGCTTTCTTACGGACGAAATAAAAATAACAAAGACATTTCACCGACCAACTGAATCAGAGAGTATGAAGAGAGTATGATGTTTCCTTTTTTTAGGAGGAAATGGCCAATTGAGTACATCAATGTGTACGAGATAGAGTAAAGGATGCACTATATTGCGCGCATTTGACATTCCTAAGTACATAAACTTGGATTCTTAGTATTATTTGAGTACACTAGCTTGTTATTTGAACACGCTAATATGGATGAGATGGCAAACAAAATACTGAGTTTCAGGGGAAGTCGACCAAGGTTTTGAAGTCGACTTAAAAGGAGAATTCGACCAAGGCCCTAGCGTCGACCTTAAGAGGTCGACCTGCGGGGCATCGACTTGCGGAGGTGCATTGACCAAGGGGCTGGGGGCTAGTGTCGACCTTCAGAAAGTCGACCTATTAGCATTAGGTTAGCCAACTGAACTGCATTAACGTGTTAATCTACAAGTGTACTCAATTAAAACTAAAAAGTTGAGTTTGTGTACTTACAAATGTCAAATGCAATATAGTGTACTCTTGTATAAACCTCATACAAGCTGATGTACTCAATTGACCATTATCTCTTTCCTTTTCTTACTGCGAACAAAAATTGTACCACTTGAAAACCCCGGCTGCTACATCGCCATAGATTATTTAGCTTTGAAGCATTTGATGGTCACTCCAGCTTCAGTTCCTCGTTGTTGATTTGGATGCAGCCCCCATCAAATGCATGGAGTTTTGGGGTGATGAGGTTATCTAGTTTCTTACTTTAACAAAAAAAATTAAGTGAATTTTGGATGTTTTATGGTATTAATGTATTATTATTATTATTTTTATTGTTATTATGAATATAATTATTATTAAAATCTATTAAAATTATACAAGGAAGAAATTTTTAAAAAACATAATTGTATAATCACTTCTCGTGTGATACTGCGTATAACGTTCATACAAAAAGAGCAATTTCTCTCGTTGTGTACCTGAATATAGGCCTGGACTCGGGCCAGGTGGCCCGACCCGGAACCGGCCCGAACCGGCACTGTTCCAGCCCGGTGGCCCGGTCAGTGTCCGGTCCGGGTAGGCCCAACCCGCGTGGGTTCCGGTCCGGGCTCGGGCCCCCCAAATCATGAACCGGTCCGGCCGGTTCGGGTCCGATTCCGGGCCATTTTAATTTTTTTATTTTTCAGTTTTTTTTTTACTTTTCGGGCTAGGCTGTGTATTTTGGGCCATTGGGGGAGGGGGGGTTGGGGTGGTTTGGGGGTGGGGGGGTTGGGGGTTAACTAGGGAGAGGGGAAAAAAATTAACAAAGGCCCGAGGCCCGGCCCGACCCGGAACCGGGGATTACCCGGGCCGGCTCCGGGCCCCGCATTCCAGAACCGCCGGCCGGGCCGGGCCTAGGCCCGAACCGGCCCTAGTCCAGGCCTGCCTGAATAATAATTTTGCTCGCTACAAATTAAGGCAGTGACCGGTTTACATTGTCGTCTCAATTTTTTGTAACCAACTTCTCAGCCAGATACATATAGAGAGCCTTTTCTTCATTTATGACAGGTTTGATATCTAAGCACCTATCTATTGAAATATGAAATACATATTGAACCTGAAGAGCGAAGAGAATGAGAGATTGAGATAATTCTCCGCCTCTCTAAAATTCACATAAAAGGAAGGAGAGTTTCGTTGTCTCGACTCTCAACCTACTGTAAATATAATGCTAGCGTAGACTATAGAGTGTTTATTTGAGGCTGCTGCAAGATTATTAAGGATAATTTGGAGATTTAGGCTATGTTTGGCATGTATAAGTCAGTGTCTTCTAGTTTTGTACTATTTAAAAAGTTCTTAAAAGCTTTTAGTTGTGTGTTTGGCATGACAATTATTAAGAGCTTCTATAAAAATAAAAGATCTTTTTTTAGATGCTACAGTGAATAGCATCTCAGATAAGTCTGTAGCTTCTAGCATTAATTAGTCTCAACAGCTTGTATACCAAACGAAGTTGAACCAAACAGTCAGCTTTTTATCAAACAGCTACTGCATTTTTCTTTTAAGATCTTTTCAGTCACTAAAAGCTAACAGTCATTGAAAAGTTCATAAAACTATCTTTTCAGCTAGTTGTGCCAAACATACCCTTAAGCTAATTTATTTATTACTTCGTAATCTTTAATTTGGAAGCTGTAGTTAATTAGTAATATGGCCATATGGGGTTGTAAATAGAAACTCCCTTTCTTGAATATGCATCCCAAAGCCCAACCCAAATCCTAATTACAAGCCCAAACTATTATACATACTCCGTATATATAAATGACTTTTTGTCAAATACAAATTTTTATAGGTATATACAGTCATCGACCCAGGCTGGGCCGGTTCCGGTTCCGGGCCCGGCCGGGCTTTTTTTTTGGGAAGGAAAGCTCAGGACCGGCCCGGGTAGCCACCTGGTCCGGTCCGGGCCGGTAGCCACCTGGTCCGGTCCGGGTCGGTAGCCACCTGGTCCGGTCCGGGCCGGGCCTCCGGTTTGGTTTTTTTTTTTTTTTGCTTTCCTAACCCCCTTCCCCCTCACTCCCCACCCCCCAAACCCCCCAAACCCCTGCTAACCATCACGCCCAACCCGGGTGGAACCCCAAAAAAGGAAAAAAAAAAATAATTCGTCTCGGACCCGGGCCCGACCCGACCGGGCCGGTTCGCCAAATACAAGGCCCGAGCCTGGACCCCCCCCCCCCCACCGTGCCTAGGCCCGACCCGGACCCGAGAACCGAGCCGGTCCTGGTCCCGCACAGTACCGAGCCGGGCCGGTCCACGGGCCGAGCGGCCCGAACCGGGTCCATGACTAGGTATATAGAGTATGGTGGAAAATAAAGAGAGTCAGAAGAAATGGAAAAATATAGAATTATACTCCCTCCGTATCAAATTACTTGACCCACTTTCCTTTTTTGGTGTATCAAATTAATTGACCTCTTTCCCTTTTTGGAAAGAATCCCATTCAAAAAGCTGCTTCAGTACTGTAGTACTGCTACAGTGTCGCTGCAATACCAAAAACCTCTTACTTTTAATAAAGTCTACAGTAATTATCTTAAACTGCGTGAAAAGCAAATGGGTCAATTAAATTGATACGAAGGAAGTAATATGACATTTATGAATTTGACTCTTTGTTTTCTTAATTCAACCAATTCAACCATTATGCCCACAAGTTCATTTTGGCCCATTCGTCCACTTTAAGCCTTCTCAAATGGGCGTTAAGGAGTAAGGACTATGGTGTAGATGCAAGTCTTGTATCGTCATCAATATTTTGAATATAAAATAAAAAAAATGGAAAAAGGGCAAACATATGGAATAATAACCTCCTAAACAAGGGTGTGATCTAAATACAAGTGTTTGTACAAGTTCTTGCAGATCTAGAGAATGTAAAACTGCAACTATCGTGTAAGGGATCATGAACGAAAAATATAATTTTACTGGCGTCTCAAAGAGTCTTCGGCTTCCAGCGTCAGCTTAACACCATCATTAAATCTAGTTGGTGAAAACCCAAGTGTCTGAATGAACTTAGTAATATCCATGGATATGTCTGAGGGGGACTTCACGCCACGGTCAACCTATAAAATCATGTTTGGAAAGAATTTCCAAGAAATAACTGCACTTTCAAGCATTGAGAAGTTTACTGAGCCGACAAAATTAAAGCAGTTAGATCGCTATTAAGACATCCACGGCATAACCCATTCCCCCCCCCCCCCCCCACGGAAGTAGTTGAAACGGCATTTCCTCAACTACAGTTTCTTGGTACTTATGGTTAAGTTATCTGGCCTGTTAACGGATGCATTTCACTGGATAAGTTACCCGGAAGGAAAAAAATCCATTGTTAATAGAAGTTGATAATAAAATTGAAGTCAATGACAAACAGTGTGAATAACTCACAATAACCTGAATTGCAAAAAAAAAAAAAAAAAACTCACAATAACCTAATAGTTGTGATACCAAAAGTGAAAGTTTTTATTACTATTTGCAAACAAATTACTTACAGATGATGAAGAAACAGATCTGATCAACACATTATAACCCTTAATTGCTGCAACAGCTTCAGCCATCTGAGCCCGGGACAGCCTATCGGGCCCTCCAGCATTAACAAGCAATTGTATTGGCTTACTCTCTACAAACATCAATGAAAATGAAATGCATTAGAACTCAAAATAGCCATGACCAATTATAAGATTTTTGGCATTGATCTCATTTTCATTATGAAACTTATACTCATTAAGCTAGAGCATATCCCAGGCAGCTGCCATGTGGGCATTATTAGAAGGTATGGGTTAGAAACCTGCTAAAAAGAGCAATTGCACTTTGTATTATATTGAGATGTTATAACTGCAGCTTATTTTGGTTGAAGGAGTGTGTTTCACATTCTGGAGTTGTAGTGGGTCCTAATGTCCTATTTAACCCTTTGACCTATTTTAAATGTCAAAACTTAGAAGACATAAATTTGTATGTAGTAAAAGTTATATTTTTGAATGTTAAATGTGGAATAGCATATCAAACCTGAGATCCATCTGTTAGTCAATATTTGTATGGCTGTTACTAGATCCCTCACATACACAGGACAACGGAACTCATCATGGAAAAATTCTGTCTGATCTCCCTTGGCAAGGACACTATCCATCCACTGCATAGTTTTTATGCTATTGCTGAGCTATCATCAGGTATAACTTAAAAAGCCTAATAGTCAGGCATTTTGATAAATCCTATAGGAAATAGTAGTGCAATGGAGTAAGGGCATGTTTGGTATTTGGCTAAATCAGCTCAATCAGCTCAAAAGAGTGGTGCTATCCATTGCAGGCAAATAGGTAAACCAAGAAACTACTATTCTGTGTACAATAAGCAGAACTAGCCAGGTAGAGCTGCCAAACAGAGCCTAAGCACCCAGATGGAGCCACCAAACAGAGCATAAGTAGTAGGAGAAAACAACAATGTAGATACAAATACATCATAAAGGTGTGAATGGAAAATGAAAGCTACTATACTTGAATTGGAAGTGACTTTGGAAGAGGAGAGATAGGATGAGGTCCGAAAATGATACTGCTTCTTAAAATTGCAAAGTTCGGGCAATTTGAAGACACGAATTGCTCTGCCGCCACTTTTGTTTTTCCATAAACGTTCACAGGTATTGTCTCATCTTCTTCCTTGTAAAAAGATTTAGTCCCTTCATAAACTGATAAAAACTAGAATAAATTCCACGCTAGAAACAAAAAAAAAATGAAAATGAATGCATAAATAAAGAGATCGCTTTAAATATAGTGATTGCTTATTATCTTACCCTGATCCGTAGATAAATGAATCAGAAAAGTACTATTTTTATCAAAACTTGACAGCCATTTAACAAGATGACAGGGCACATTGATAGCCATGGCAGCTTCAGGATCAGCTTCACAGGCACGAGGGACGGAAAGTGCAGCACAATTAATCACAACATCAGGCTGTCACACTTCAAATTAGCCTTATTATATTATCGATACAAATAAATACGGAGTAACTAGCAATATCTCAAAATCCAGCTTCTAAACCAAAAAACTCTTATGAACTTAAAAAACATCGGATAAAACATTGGGAAAAAAGTATTGTGTTGAACCTGGCCTAGGGTTGCTGATATGGAATCAAAGCCAACTCCATGGCGCAAATCGATAGGAAAATGGAGCGCTTCTGGAAAGGCATCGAGAAGTGGGTGGGGAGGTGGATTGGAGTGGTAAGTGAAGGCCAGGGAGAGAGGATAGGGAAGAGAATGCAGAATCTGAATGAAGCCTTTGAGCAAATGCTGCCCCAGGTAGCCTGTGCCTCCCACGATCAACACCTTCTTCTTCGCCTCATCCATTCTTCCTCTCTATTTTCCCGAATCTTCCGGACGAACTGCAGTACTGTACTACTCCGGTTTTTTCCTTGAGAAGAGAAATGGTCGTAGATGAGACAAAAAAAAGTAAATAAGACTTAGAGAAATGCTAGAGGTACACACTTTGTGTACACATTTTGTGTACACTCGTCTGTCTCTTAAGAAAATTTTGTCTGTCACAGACAATTCATATATGAGTTGTCTGTGACAGACAAAATTTTCTTAAGAGACAGACGAGTGTACACAAAGTGTGTACACAAAGTGTGTACCTCAAGCATTTTTGTAAGACTTATTTCTTTTTAATCCGTAAATATGACATATTTTATGTGTTGAAACCGCTTTACCCTTCTATTTCCTTCCGGCAAATATCTTCCCCGGGTCCTTATATTCCCTCGCTCTTCTCGACAATCCTTTCGGGAACTTCAGTCCCGGCCTAGGCACTAGGCAGTGGTCGGGTGCCCCAATTTTCGTCTATGCGCTCCGATTAAATGGTTTGCTGTCTAGGTGAATTAGCCGGCCGCCTATGGTACCTATTTGCCCGTCCAGAGCGCCTAATAGGCCACCTAGGCCGTCTAAATTTCCCGAATATTGCTTTACTTTTAAATTTTAATTTTCTAAGCGATATAAGTACTTTAACTTTAGCCACGGATATAAAGAAGTGAAGCTGTAAATCAAGACAAAAACTGCATATGTTTGTATATATACCTAAATCTTATTATTATTTATAATTATAACATAATGAAGTTAAGTGATTAGTTATCATATACTGCGTATGATTAATGTGATAATTCTATCCTTCATGTTTGTTAATATATGTGTACATATGTATTTTATACACACATAAATACAATATATTTATCATATTTATGCAAAAATATAGAAAAAATGCAATTTTTATGTATCAGACTAATCCCCGACTAGGCGCCCGCCTAGCCGCCTAGGCGCTAGGCGCTGGGCTGACGCCGGGCCTAGCGCCTTTTAGAACATTGGTCGGGATTAAACGAAACACTCCATGAACGTGAGGAAAAGATCGAGTAGAGAAAGAGAGTTACCGATTTTTGTAGAAATTACAATTCATGCGCGCATATTTGTTTTCGCTAGTACGTAACTGATTTAATAACGATTGTTTCTTGAAATTGAGCTTGTATTTAGTTTCGCAAGCTAGGGACGAAGCTCCACATCAAATTTGAGCAGTTGGGATTGAGTTTTTGGGCTGATTCGAAACTGGTCATTGAGCTCGACTACTGTTCATCGCCCGCAATTTCAAACTCCTCCCACGGGATTTCCGGCAATTTGAGGCATTGGCAGCCAAAACAAAATAAGGATCAGAGGTCACCTTGAATAGGCGCACATCCTCATATAATTTTATTTTCTGAGCACCTTCCATTTGGGCGACTACTGTTCATCTGTGTGACTTAATGCGTGCTATGTTAAAGAAGAAAAATAAAGGTGGTGTCCATACTCCTAAAATTGTCAGGGCATCCAAACAAGCATCAGAAAGCAAAAAAAAAAAAAAAAAAAAAAAAAAAAAAAAAACAAGCATGAGAAAAAAACAAGCATCAGAAGAAGGTATTGAGGATGCTTTGGAGAACTGAGGTATGTCCCCCAAATGGGATTTTTGTGGTTTACGGTTCATATTAAAGAGGTCTTTTATCTTTCTATTTCTGTTTACATTTAATGTATTTTTAGAGTTTTACTTTGAATGTTTTCGAGCCAGGTAGCAGCCCAAACAAATAAAGAAGTTGGCAATAAAATACCAAATTATCCAAAGTTGTGCCACATATATCAAAAGTGAAGTCTATGCTCAAACATTGCAATCCTTCAATCCTTCGAGGACTGGTGGTGGAGGTCCTCGAAGGACCGGCGGAGGAGGTCGCCGGAGTAATAGAGACAACAGTTACCAAAGGTCCAACTTTACCAAATGTTGATGTGGTTGAGAAGTGTTTTGGACCTCAAAGACGCAGTCATGTAATTTGTCATGGAGGTGGGGTGACTCGGAAGTATTTGAAGGGACCATCTTGTAAAAAGGCTGAACATGAAGCCAAATTGAATGTCAAAGATGAAGAAAATAGCTACTTGAAGAATCGTCTAAATACATTAGAGGATGAATTCCAAAAGATCAAGGAGATGCTGCAAAGTCAAGAAAAAAAGCTAGACATTAACACTTGACAATATATCTCTAGTTTTATTTTATGTTTAGAAACTTCATACCTAACGTATCATCTACCTCTTATTTTATTTGTTTTTGAGATACTTTGATGTGCTGAAAAAATATGCTAAGATTTAGTTTTTGTTTGTTTTTGAAACACGTTAATCTTGCTACATTTGAATATTTAATCATTAGTTTTCAAGTTGCTTTAGCTTTGTATGTGCACACTTATAATTGCTTAATTTAATATGTTATATACGTAACATATTATTATTGTGTATGAAACATCATACAATATTTAGTCAGACAAAACTATATATATAACGAGTATCAACATATTTGTTGCTATTGTATAATTTTAATAATTAAAATTTTATATATATATATTACAATTGCGAAGGGATTATAGTCGCTATTTGATATAGAGAGTAGTCTCTACTAATAACATTTGCGTCCACATTTTTGTTGGTCTCAAAAGAAATTAGCGACCAACCTTTTTTATGGTCGCAAAAATCCTTTTGCGGCCAGACCAATAGGGATGAACGCGCGACCACATTTTTTGGTCACAAATTGTCAGTAGTGACCATATATGTTGCTTTTGCAACTATTTTTCCCTTCGCTAATTAATGACCCTTTTTCTTGTAGTGAAACTTGAAGATTGCTGATAGGGTCTATCTACTAACTAGCATGACTGATCAAGCTTGGTTGTGGCATGCAAGGTATGGACATCTAAATTTTCTATCTCTGAGAATGCTTTCAAGCAAGAAGATGGTGGATGGGCTACCAAACATCACACGTGTGAATCAAATGTGTGATGGTTGTATTGTGAGTAAACAACATAGAAACTCACATCCTCAAGTGGCAACTTTCAGAGCACAAGAAAGACTTGAGTTGGTTCATGGGGACTTGTGTAGACCCATATCACCACGACACCACCTACCCCAGGAAACAACAAGTATTTTATGCTTTTAGTAGATGATTTCTCACGCTTCATGTGGACATCACTACTAAAACATAAAGGGGAAGCATTTGAGTCATTCAAGAAGTTCAAACAATTGGCAGAAAAGGAAATGACTTGGAGGTTGAAGTGTTTCAGGACAGATAGGGGGGGTGAGTTTACTTCAGCAGAGTTTAAGAACTATTGCGATGAAGAAGGCATAAAAAGACATCTTACTGCCTCATATTCACCTCAGCAAAATGGGGTAGTAGAGAGGAGAAATCAAACTATCATGGAAATGGCTAGAAGTTTACTGAAAAACAAGAATTTGAAGAACCCAAACTATAAGTTACTTCATCCTCCCACACCCAAACTATGCACTCTTTGAGGTTGAACATTTAGGTGAAATCTCCAATTGTAACAAAAATAATATAATTCGTAGCATTCTAAAAAAGGAGTACTATATTCCCCCTGGCCCTCAACAGGAGTTCTAAAAATTTTATGTCCTATTTTGACATTATAAAACTTAGACATGATAGTATAGTTGGGAGTACTGCACTTGGCGGTACTTCCAAACATGATCTTAATTTCTCCTAAAATAATTTAGCCCTTATTTAAGGCAATTTTTGTTAATTTATTATGGAAATAGTGAAAGTCATCTTGAAGTGTTCTTCCTATTGTGTATTGAATAGAAACAAATTCTCCAAAGATTGATTTGAGTGTGTGTCACACCCATCATGAATTATAATTTGTTCATATCATTTTTGTCCATCCAGTTTGCATTTTGCCGAAATAAATGTTGGGACTCCTCCCGTGTCTTTCATGGTGGCAATCGACACTGGGAGCGATATCTTGGTTGCCATGTGGATGTAAGAACTGTCTGGACTTATATGTGACAGACACGGAAGAGGTAAGAAAAAGTTCTAGCTATGTATATACCTGGATGGGCCGGTAAAGCATATACTCCTTCCGAAAAGGTTTTCCGTATTATTTTTCTTGATCAATGATCATAAAATTTAGACAATGATTTTAATTATATGTGTATATAATTTATACCATTGTGGAATGACTGAAACCGGCACTAATTTGGAGGATGGCGCAATCAATGGTTTGCTTGGGGTGGGCTATAATACACCTTTGAATGTTCCTGGCTTACTGGCATCCCAAGGGTTAGTACCCAACTCCTTCTCCTTATGCTTTGGCCTTGATGGGAAAGGCAGGCTAGCATTTGGAGACAAGGGTAGCAATGACCAGATGACAACACCATTGGACAAGTAAGTCCACTATTTTATGAATTATGAAGAACATTTTAATTTTCTAAAGGCCTATTATATTGTACTTCCTCCATTCTTTTTTCGTTGCAACATTCACTTTTTCACGTTTGCCCACACACAACTTTGACCGTTATTATATTTAATTTTGTATTAGTAAAAAATAATTAAAAATCAGAATATGAAACTTTTTAATGAGACGAATTCAACAATATTTATCAAAAAAAATAATTCGCATACCTTAATAAATAAAATGTAGTCAAAGTAGAATACATAAATAGTGTGTAATTTGCAATGTTGCAACTAATGTGATACGAAGGATAGTATTGTTCAGAGAAAATTACCTAATTTGGAGGAAAATAGAGTGATAGTGTAAAATTGGGAGTGAAAGATCCTTGAAATGTACATGAAGGGCAAATACTAGCTCCTAGGCAGCTGTTACTTCCGGAAACTAACCGGATATTTAATGTGGTTTGTAAAGTCCAGAAATGTCAATCCTAATCCCGAAAGTTATGTTTGGAAGTTTGGAAGGAATGAGACGGGATGGTTTTGAAGGTTAGTCATTGCATGAGAAGGGCATCGGAGGAGATCAGAAGTGAAGGAAATACTTCTTGTTTGGAGGTAAATGAATTTTGAAAAGAGAGAGACTATGCAGAAATTATACTTAAAATTATTTCAAAATTATGTTGAGTCCTCAAAGAGTTTATCCTACATTCATTTTAAAAATGACTAATTAAAGTGATCATTTAATTAGTTATCTTTCAAAATAACCCAATTTGGAAAACCATAAAGTCGAACATTTTGAAGAGCTTTTTAAGGGAAAGTTCCCGAAATAGGACTAAATAAGTTTGAAAATTCCAAAATAGGACTGTCATGTTTTTATTCCCAAAATAGGAGTAATTACTGTCAAGTTTGGAAAATACTATCATCTTTAAAGTCTGGTACTGCCAAAACATGGCAGTAATTAGTCTTATTTTGGGAATAAAAACATGACGGTCCTATTTTTGGAATATAGAAGTACTTTTAGTCCTATTTAGGGTAATTTCTCGCTTTTTAATGGGTTACAAAAACCATCTAAAACCATCTAAAACCCTTCTCACGGCGCCTTCTCACCCTATAAAGCTCAAGTACCCCAAATAAACACATCCTAAGGGGTAGGTAAACCATACATTCTAATTATACATCTTAATTAAGATGAGAAAAGTAATTATAACTTCTATTTTGAGAATTTCAAATATATGCTCACACTTTGACCCTGTTAAAATATTTTACTCTTATTCAAAGCAATTTTTATATTTAGAAACTACTTTTAAGTCTTAAAACATGTCTTTCTTAGAGCATCTCCATTCATGATCTCTAATAATCAATTTTTTCTATGATTCTTACCTTTTAAATATTGTTATATAATTAATGTTTAAATAATCTCAATATTCGTTTATGTCTCTCAACCATCATCTTCAAATAATCCGATTTTTTCGTTCCTGCATTAACTTCTATTACATGTACTTTTTAAATAATCTTAAAATAATCTGGATTCATATTTTGATCCCGGATTATTGTAGCAAATAATCTCACTAAATAATTTATGTCTCTCAATGATGCTCCTTTAAAAAATATGCCATGTCACTTACTTAATCTCTTAATGATCCTACCAATGGGGATGCCCTTATGCTGGCCGGTTTAATTTGCAAGCTTACTCAAATGCAGTGGGGGTTACAACATACGGATAGAACAAATATCTGTGGGAAATATTGTAACCAACGTTGACATCGTAGCGCTAGTAGATTCGGGTACCTCTGTTACCTGGTTGAATAAATTAAAGAGCCCTATTTTTTTTTATAACAAAGAATATAAGTACCATGGTTGACTCTAATAATTAATAGATACGTAGTACTACGTAACTTGCATTTATAATAAGATGGTTTTACTTGGACTAATTTCAATCCGGTCAGATCAAATCAGACTAGATTTTTACAGTCGAGGCCAAACCAAATTAGATTTCAGCATTTGTAAAATACATGAAGACTAAATATATACCAAATCAAATCAAAACCGGTTTTGACCAGATCAAATTTAAACAGACCAGAACAATTTTGACTAAATCAGATCGGAAAATTTTAATCCAAGTAAAAACATCCTAACATTTGACAATAAATTAATGAAATGCTTTCAAGCGGGGCTTTGCAGTTTAATTCTTTTGTGAAGGACCCACGCATCCCTCGTACTTATGCATATCCTTTCGAGTACTGTTATAGACCAAGGTGAGTTGAGACTTGAGGTGGAGAAATAAAATGGCTTATCCTTTAATTTAGTCTAAATACAGTTAAAACTATTAAGAACAAAACACTTTGTTAGAGGCCCGATTTTCATTAAATATTACACAAACACAACTTATAAAGTTATAGATGAAATATTATTAAGGTTACTATAAATTAAGACACTATTACGGACAGTTACGGTATAATGGTATATGATTATGATCACAAAAATATTAATATAATCATTATCTATAAAAATTTACGTTTTCATTTAATACTCGATCTATAATACATTTATTTTAGTCATACATGATAATTTAATATAGTCTATTTACTCTTTAGTTTACTTCTATCGGTTCTATGCATGGCAGCTCAAATCACCACATATCCGACGACTCCTCTCTCTTGACCCTAAAGGTGAAAGGAGGGGCTAATTTTCATATTATTAGCCCCACCTTCATAACGACTCTTCCGGTAATAAATATGTTCCATTCACAATTTTCTTCAGCTACTTTTACTTGACCTACTAACATTGTTTTGTGTTATTCCTTTGTGTTTGTGATAATCCCTTCAGATGATCGATGAGCGGACCTGTGTACTGTTTAGGTATGGTCGAAAATAAGAAGTATAAGGTCACTATCATTGGACGTATATGAGTACCTCAAAATGTGTCTTTCGTCTGATTTGGATTGATACGTTGAAATTTGACATAATTTAATTTGATATGATCTTAATCGATTTGAACTTAATCGA